ATTTCAATGAAAAATGACGTGTAGTGATAAGAACATACAAAGAAGGTATTCAATCTAGAACTGTTCATCTTTTACAGATAGCGGAAGCTACAGCTGACGTATTCAAGAATCATGAATTACAAAACCTCAGACACGTGCAGAATGCTACAATAACCTACAGATTTAAGCTCGTGGTCCCTAATCTGATGAAAAACACTGCAATGACAAACCCGCACAATGGGCGCAGAAACACAGTTCTTGTTCTATACCTGACAACAAAGAAACATATGTCGTGCCCTTAGTATACACATGGACCAAAAATCTTGACTGAGGTACATGGGAAAAGGAAACAACAAATACCTACTGATGATATGTAGCACCTGTCTCAAGAAAGTGTCCATATATATTTTGTGCTCTTTTATTTTAGTATAGGGCTTGAGAGTAGTTCTAATTTTCTCTTGAGATTAGTTCTTGGCGGCCTGAAAAACATAGGACCAAACAATTATATATCCATGATTTTGGGGGGTAACGTGGTGCAAAAACTGTGGCATGGAACTATAAAAATCTTAAATGCTGGAGATGCACATGGAAATAGGGGGCAGCAACTCGATGTACATTTACAAGATGAGGTCTGATGAAGTCACTTGATGTTGATGAACCTCCGAAGATATATCTGAGACCATTTGGACATAGGCCCGGCCCTGCGCGGGGTCGAGCAGTGCCCCGCACTGGGCTCTCGGATCCTTGGGCCCCTCCCATGAATACAATAGCAAGGCTAATAATCTAGTCGACTGCTGGATGCAAGAATTTTTGCAGCCTATCTCTCAACCTATTTATATAGTAGTTAGCTTTTTACCGTTAATACATGATTCACTTGTCTCTCTTAGAAAGTTTATTGGTTCTTGTGTTTAAGCCGGTTGTAAGCTTACAATCCGCTTCTCCTCTTTCCTCTCTTCTCCACCTCACCAATCATCTTACTTAGAGCTTGCTATTATACTTATACTTGCTCTAACGCTACTTTGCTGAGTTGCTGCCGTCACCACTTTAGAAATTGTTTTTATTTTAGAAAAATATTGTTATAGCTTCTTCTCGTGAAAATGGCTTCTAGCTTCAATAGAAAATTATTCAGCCTTAATAAAATCTAAAAAGTTCCATTTACTTATTTGCAATATACTATATACTCATAGTTATTGTTATTATTTGTGTTATTTATTGTACTAGCCATTGGTAGTGTCCCATAAAGAGAATATATATAAAATCAACAAAAATAAAAAACTTAAAAGGGAGAGAGAAAAATAAAAAAAAACAGAAATTTCCAAAGAAATTGTGAAAAAACAGCCAGAAGGCCCGTGCGGGTGCCTTTTTTTTTTACGCCGTCGATCCATGATCTGCATTCCCCTTGGTGCTGTTTGGATTGTCACGGGGAATGGGATAGGGTTAGGAGGACGAAAAAGTTGAGGCAGGTATACGAGAGATTATCCTTTTCCCATGCTTGGATTTACCTTTGTTTAGGATAGGGATATATGGTGGGATCCACACCAGATTAAAAAAGAAAAGGAAAACTGAGCGACACCTCTTCTAGTGTCGTCTACCGACTCTGCTCGTCCAGCTCATTCTTCCTCGTCATCTCCCGGTCCCCGCCCAGACGGCCTTGCGAGTGTGCAGTAGCCCGCGGCTTGCTTTGCCTGCGCGGCTAGGTGTTCCGGTGCGCCAGTGGCCCGACTATGGATGGCAACGGGGATGTATCTGTCACGTATCGCCGGAACGATCTCTTCTCCGCTACGGAGAATTCATCCCGTCCCCGTTCCCATTAACTGTCTCGGGTATAGATTCTTGCTTATCTCCGTACCCGTCGGGCATCGGTCGGGTAACAAATACCCGACGGGTACTACATACCCGATAAATAAGGACACTTGGGGTCGCAGCTTTGCAATCGGAGACGTTTCTTCTTCACCCGGGTATAAGTGTCGGAGTCTCGGAGATGCCGAGGAGAAGGAGAGAGGTTGCGAGGAGGACGAGCAAAGGTGACAGAGAGACCGAATTGAGGAAGCGAGGGCACGAAGCGCCATGAAGCGAAGCGTGCTTGTGTCATCTTGGAGATGGTGAGGAAAAATTGAACTAGGGTTTCTATAACACACAAACTATATAAATGATTGTTCAGATTTGGAGCAAAAATACTTATGTTGAGTTTCTTTTGGCCTAATACTCGCATGACAGCTTAAATAGTCGGATTCCCCAACGGGTAACGGGGACGGGTAAACAGGGAACGTTCCGTACCCGCTATACCCGTCGGGATGGATTCTTGCTCATTTAGATGTCCGCGGGTAAAGATATGATCCCATTTCCATCCTCTAATGAATCAAAGATCCGTCGGTATAGATATCGGGGCTCGGTTGGCATCTTTAGGCCCGACCAGCGCCCGAGTGGACAGAAGCGGGATCCCGCGAGAAGCAGCGTCTCCGGCGGTCCACGCGGCGGGGCGAGATGCGGCCCAGGCGCGCGGTGGGACGAGCTACTCCTCCGGTGGCCGGCGCAGCCAAGTGAGCAACGGCCTCGGCAACCCTCGTGGAGGCAAGCTTGCCTCCGATTACAACGGCGACGGTCGGATGTTGTGGAAGATCGCGCAAACGAGGTGCGTACAGTATCTTTCCCGATCGTAACCCAGCCCTCCGATTGGAATAGGATCTCTGGGATATGGTGGCCTCTTTTCCCATTGTCCAAACATGGGTTCAAATCTATCCCATCCCTCGTTTCCCTATCCCAATCTTTATTTCCCTGAACCAAACGCCACCCTTCCGTCCGCTGCGTCCCTTCCGAGTCCACGTGCGTTCGGACTGTCTCTCTCGCCCCCCTCTCGCTCTCAGAGACTCAGACGACTGGTGGGCCGTCGCCGCCCTAAAGCCAGGCGCTGAGGCTTTCGTTGGTCTTTTCGCCGGCGACGAGCACCCCACCAGGTACACCCACCCCTTCTCTTCCTTTCCCTTCATGCTGTGCGAAGCTGAGCACCGAAACCCTAACCTAAAGCTATTTAGCTATTTGATTTGACAAGCCTCCTAGCTTCCCCTTTACTGGATCTGCCCCTGGTGGGTGATCTCCTCGTGATGCAATGGCGCGTGCAAATTTTTTTCGTGGTAGTTGGTTCACATCACACAAAAAAAACAGCGGCTTAGTTTTAAATTGCTGTAGTTTTGCGGCGGACCGCATTCAGGCCACCCACTGGTTCAGTTTAGGTACCCTTCCATTTTCAGTGTTTATGGAATTTATTAGGCTTCTAGTACTTCATTATTTTTTGCTTCTGCTCTGGTCAACATTCTAGTTCTTCTTCTCTAGGAGGTCAGAGGTACTATCATGGTGTGTGAGCCTGGTGCGGAATTTAGTCGAATGTGCATGATCATTCTGTTGCATTCATTTCTGTTGACGTGCTCTATGTTTGTGTCTTTTCTACTAAACTTGTGAACGCTTTCAGAGTAGATGTTGTCAAATACACAGGATGACAGGACCTTCTAGCACACAGCCATTTCCTGTGAGGTTTTCTTAACGTTTACAAAGGTATTGTGTATTCTGACAAATTCTACTTTTGGATGGTATTCAATCGTTGCTATAAAGGTATACATGGGCCTCATGTACATACCATCACTTGGACATAGGTAATAAGGTTCAACCTAGAAAAGCCCCATATATTTGATGAATTCAACCTTTTGGAAGTATCCAAATGTACTGATGTATTATGAACACCCCCAAATAACTTCTACAAGCAGAAACACACAGCAACAGGAGGGACTTCCGCGCTGCCACTAACAAATCTAGATCGGTGCCTTTCCCTGGTCGACAGTTGGCCTATGGCGGCAGTGGCGGCGGCGGCAGCCCTCGGTGGCGTCTAAAAAATGGCCACACACTCTTCACTGTATCCACTTGCCTCTTATCTCCTTCCTGTTTCGCGCGACTGGTGACGATCTCAGGTGAAGGTGACCTCGATCTCATGCTTGGGTGTCAACGTTGGGGGTGGGCTAGTTGTGACCGGATCTGTGGTATGGCGGCCCTACAGGCCAGTTCCAGCAGCGGGCACCTACCTTTGGTGCTTCAATGACAGTCAAACGGCATAGCAATGTTGGTTCCATGGATGATGCTGGTATACCCCCACCTGTCGGCGCCACGCTGTTGAGGCCTTTACTCACTTCTTGTTGTGTGGATCCATCTGGGTGAAAACTTAGTACTGGTTTGTCCCGTCATGCGGTGACGGCGTCTTCAGATGTCTCTCTCCTTGGAGACCTCGCATTAGGAGGTGCCCTTTGTGGGGGCAGTGTGATGTTGGTTTCCCGACTTGGTGGTCAGAGCTCAGCCAGCATTTGGAGTTGTTCATCACCTTTGTTGGATTTGGCTCAAGCTTAGGTTCCACTTTCACCCATTTTATTGTGAGATTGGTTCTTGTGGAGGAGACATCATGAAAAAACCGTGAAAGTTTGACTACATGATGAGCATGTTAAAGATTATTATTATTCTTATAGGTTTTATCTTTTGGAGGAGATGTATTGGCTATAAACCTTTAGGCCATATGCCTATCTTTCTAGTGGTGGATTTTTTTTTGTAACTTTTGTGGTCCGATCAGGGAATGATTGAAGCCAGAATAAATCTTTCCATTATCTAAAAAATAACTTCTACAATATAGGTATAAACTTGTTAAAAATTTGTATACCTGGTGAGGTATTCCACCATTTGTACCAACTGGTTACTTCTACTGCCAAGAATCCGTAGAATACACGGCACAATACTCATTTGTTGTAAGGTGGTCTACTCGTGCTAACCAACTTTGGAATACTTTCTAAATAAAAGTAAATAAATTTGTCGGATTCACAAAATCTCAGCCTTTTTACCTATATATGTTCCGTAAGGTTTTCTATCTGTTCTTTTGGAAATACCTTTCTAACAAACCTCAAGTACTTTCTAAAGGTTGATCTTTTATTGAAGTTTCTAGTGGGGTCGTGTGACCCTACAGGACCCAAAACAGATAGTTGCCATCAAGGATGGAAGGTCTCTCCATCGATCCCAAGTGGCTTATCGACCCGAAGCTTCTCTTTGTTGGGCCACGCATCGGCGAGGGCGCTCATGCAAAGGTCTATGAGGGGAAGTAAGGCTCATTTTTTGATCTATCATCTGCAATTTTCTCCTAATCGAGCACTTATTTGATGCTGGGATTGGCAGGTATAAGAACCAAAATGTTGCTATCAAGATTGTGCACAAAGGGGACGCCCCTGAGGAGATGACCAAGAGGGAGGGGAGATTCTTGAGAGAGGTGACCATGCTGTCAAGCGTGCAGCACAAGAACCTCGTCAAGGTCTACTTTTGCAGTCATGTTGATTCTTTCCTCCTCAAGGAGATGACCAAGAGGAAGAGGAGGTTTTTAATGCATTTGTTTATTGAAAACTACGACTGCTTGTTTCACAGTTTATAGGGGCCTGCCTAGAACCTGCCATGGTGGTGGTGACAGAGCTACTAGTGGGGGGCTCGTTGCGCAAGTATTTGGTCAGTCTCCGACCTAGGAGCCTTGAGCCTCATGTAGCAGTGGGGTTTGCATTGGACATTGCCCGAGCTATGGAATGCTTGCATGCACGTGGGATCATTCATCGTGATCTTAAGCCTGGTAAGACTTGTCATTTTGTGATCTGATCGTTGCGTGCTCTCTATATTATTCATTGCATAGTAGGTGGTTTTCTTCAAACTGTGGATATACCTCTTTTTGCTCTCCATGTTTACCATGTGGGTATATATCTTTATTACTTTCTTCGGAAAAATAATTAACCTGCAATATTTACTTCCTTTTAACAGTTGATTAGTAAATTCCGTAATTCCGTAGTTGAATATCAATCTTGTAATGGCATTCATGTGGATTAGCTCAGGATGGAAATGTGCCTTATAGTAACCTGCAGATGAGAAGTCTCTTCTCCTTGCACTATTACATCCTATATATATATATACGCGCTATTCTACACCCTAGGTGTAGAATATTATTCTACACCAAGCTGTTATACTAAACAAAATTCAGTTCAGTAGTCGTGTTTCAGTATTTTTCAGTATTTCGAGGTACTGGGTGTAGTATTGACTGATACTGAACGCGGTTCAGTACTACTCAGTATTTTTTTCAGGTCAGTTTAGAATAGCGCTGCCGTATACATATATATATAATTTTATGGTAAATTTAGCCATTACATGTTATTGAGATTGTAGAATGTTATGTTATCATAAATCTTCTAAAAAAATCTGTTTTTCCCCAGTTTTGGTGATTAATAAATTAGTGCCTCCTTTAATTTTGTGGCATATTCTAATATATTGATTCACATCAAGTTTTGTTTCCTGTTGTGTGCGTTGTCTTATTTTATACATTGTGATTATTCTTCATTTCTTTTCTGCTACCACTGTTCTCTTCAAAGATGAAGTTCAGATGTTAAGTGCCAACTGTTGGCATTGTACTCACTTCTGGCAATCTATGACATACCATGGTTATCTAAGAACCTTTTTTCCTTTGCCTATTCTTTATTGTAGCATGCTGTAGTTTGCTATGAGCTTACATAAAATCCCCTAACATCCACTTTAAACAGACTTTTAATGAATCATTCCACTTTAAAATCCACTAACATAAATTCCCTAACATAAATTCCCTTGCCTATTCTGGCAATCTATGAATCATTCCACGCTTTACAACTTTTCATGAAAATTACGATATGCATCTTCTTCTGAATAGAATTTTAAATTCCCTTGCCTATTCTGGCAATCTATGAATCATTCCACGCTTTACAACTTTTCATGAAAATTACGATATGCATCTTCTTCTGAATAGAATTTTAAATTTTGTTTGGAGGAAAGAACAAACCAATATCGTAGAATAAATATTGTTTGGATAGATTGTACAAGGCGCTCATCATTTAGCTCTTCTTGCAGCTATAAATTTTCCAACCCTTCTGATAGAACCTACTAAACACTGCCTTGAGATGCATCTTTAGCAAGATTCTGGAACTCAGGCCTGGCATCTATCTCAGAAGATTCATCGGGAGACATTGAAATTCTCCTATCTGATTTCTGAACAACTATTCTCTAGATGGCCACATTAGCAAAGTGCCTCTCCAAAAGCATCTGAATACAAACCTGCAGGGCATGTGAAATCTTATATAGCGTGAAATCAGGTTATAATTTCTAAATGTAATGCATCTACACAATACTCTACAACACATCAAAGCAAAACACATCATTTGTTTTGTCAATGCAGCCTCAAGATCAACCATGATGCAATCATTCTGAAAATGACCATTACATTTTATTGCATCAGGAATTAATACATGTATGCTTAAAAAATGAACAGGAGGATAGAGTGCTGGATCTTTACATGGACACATATACGTTTGCTTATACTACTTTTTAATAAAAATAAATAAATAAACGACTAATCATACATATCAAGTTGAAAATACCGTGCATTTGACCGCTTTCCACTCTGGAGTTTGGAGATGTGTGCATGAAGATGTATTTCTCTGAAAACATGGGTTACTTAAGTATATAAACTGTATATAATTTCAACAAGCTATTGTAAGAACATATACTGCCAATCATCGTTTCCTCCTGTGAAGACAAAAAGTATACTGCCAATCTGCAATCTAAAGCATTAATTCATCACTATGCTAACCATTGTTTCCTAGGTAGGGTTCCACCGCGGAAATAAGAGGAGTTGGAATACACTTCTTCATGTTGCTAAGGTGCCAATTACTGAAATTGATCAGTCTATAATTGAATCAACACCATGAGACCTATAAGCTTGCCGAGGATCATTTGTACTCAACCGACTCCCACACAATCTCTGCATTGTGCACAGAGTTTGTTTGCGGTTTGCCCCAACTACAACAGATGACCATTCTCTCCTCGCTTCAGCTGCACATCTTTGTAGGTTTCTATTTTGGCGGTGGAGTGACAGCCATGCTGCGGGAGCATTATCAGATGTTAAATAAAGAATTCTAAACGGTCAAAATTATCGTGCAAATAAAGCAGTGTCACCTCTATTAGGAGTACAGATAACAGACTCTCAGATAGTATAGAAGATGTTTGCATTTCCCAATAATCCCTCCATCAATCTTCAATTGTCATCACCAAAAGTTGCTCGTTCCTGCAATTTTTTGAACCTTATGCCAAAAAATGTAAAACTGGACAATTTGAAGTTGTCATATAACAGTAGTTTACCTGACTAATTTGTTTGAGAGGCATGCGCTGGTTTTCGTGGCATTTGTAACCCCTTCGGCCCTTCCACCTCATACTCCAAACCTGCACCCACAACCTCTACCATGTATGTCCATGGCCGCCTCAATGGTCCCTGCTGCTCGTCCCTCAGTTACTGAAATACCAAGCATGTCATCGAAAAAGCCACTATCTCTGTTGTTATTAGGTCTCGGCTTTGCTTCATCGACGTACAAACTGTAGCAATGAAGGACATCACCACTTCATATGCTTTATCCAAGGAATCTGAGTAAGAATCCAAGTATCGACGCCACCCTTACCATAAACTTGTTTGCCATGGCATGAAAAATTCAGAAGCCATGACAAACTAAAGTTGAATCATGCATCACAAATTCAAAGAAAAGAAATAATTGTAGTAGAGAAGTCTCACGACCATGGGGTAGTTGACCTGATGGGGTAGGTGAGAGAGGTTGCCGGCCGGCCGCCGGCTTCCTGCCCGTGGTGGCTGGTTGAGTGTAGCAGCAGGGAGATGAGAAACAGAGAAAGGAGATGAGAATTGGATTGGCTGTAATTGCTTGATTCACTCCCTTGGTCACGACTGATTAAAAAGAGATTACAAACTCTCCTAGCCTCTCATTTGCCTAGCTGACTTCTTCCCTATTGCTAAATCAGGCGCCTGCATGATCTCCATGCATGTTCCTGTGCCTAATTCCTGAGCTGCATGATCTCCTTGGCCTCTCCTTGCCTAACTAGCCCCTATTCCTGTGCCTGTAGCTATTCCCAACCATAATAAGAAGAGATTAAGATTATCATGGTTCTGTCATCTGCAGTGTTTGTCGTGATTCTACTGTATAATTTATCAAGTAACATAACATTTAGCTGAGATTTTGCTAGTGCATAACTTGCCCAACCTACTGTCATTTCCTGTTCCAAATGCATCAAGAAATATAAAGTAACCTGAATGATTGGTCGTGATGTAAGCATAGTTTGAAGATGTTAATTTCAGCACAATGTAGTCTTCATCAGTAGAGGTTACTATTATCTGAGTTTCAGATCATATATGTTCAATCCAACAATGCGTTTTATTTTTTATTTGGTTTATTAAACCACTGGTGACATCTTGTTAGTTTATCATGAATTTCCTTTTTTTTTTGTCCCATGTCATCTTTTAAGAATCTACCTGACAGATATTTATTCAGACTGTTGATCTTTAGTCTGTTTTTTCCCTTCACTTCGTGCAGAGAATTTGTTGCTGACTGCAGACCAGAGAACAGTAAAACTTGTTGATCTTGGTTTGGCTAGGGAAGAAACATTAACAGAGATGATGACTGCTGAGACAGGAACATACCGTTGGATGGCTCCAGAGGTTTCTACTGCATTCATATTTGTCAGTTTCTGAATCCTTATTTTTCTGTGTTATTATTATTAATGTAACATGGAATATCTCAACAGTTGTACAGCACAGTAACATTGAGGCACGGAGAAAAGAAGCATTACAACCACAAAGTAGATGTCTACAGCTTTGCAATTGTGTTGTGGGAACTCCTTCACAATAAACTGCCATTCGAGGGAATGTCTAATCTTCAAGCTGCGTACGCTGCTGCTTTCAAGGTAACACCTGATACTCTAATCATGAGCCAATTATCCTGAAGAATTGTTGAGGGCATCCCTGGGTTATGTTTGCTTTGGTATGTTTATATATACACATATCTTGCATGGTGTTTCAAATATGTTCCACCACATGAACTCTAGTTTATTCTTACACCACTGCATGTGTTTTGTATTTGACCAGATGAAAGCCTTATTTGCTGCAGAATATCAGACCAAGTGCTGACAACTTGCCTGAGGAGTTGTCAGAAATCCTAACATCCTGCTGGAAGGAAGACCCAAACGAGAGACCAAACTTCACACAGATAGTGCAAATGCTCCTACATTACCTATCCACCCTTTCGCCACAAGAAACCTTGGCCCCTCGCCGCACATTCAGTTCGGAGAACACAATCCTGCCGCCAGAATCTCCTGGGACGAGCTCACTTATGGCTTCTCGGGGTGACCTCGGCGACACAACGAAGGGCAAGAAGGAAGACAAGCCAAGGGGCTTCTTTTTCTGCTTCAGTGAGTGCTATTAGCACAACCCCAAAGGGAACTCTGAGAAGTTGCAAATACTGAATCAACATCGTCCCCTGATGCCCTGAGACTCAACCATGGTCAGTCGATCAAGTCTCGGCATCCATAGTCCATACCCTGAAGAATGGAAGTGTAGTCGAACTGTTGTTTCTGCTAATCAGGTCTCCTGCATCGCTGACATGTTGATATACAGCAGGGTAAAACGGGTAACATTTTGACTCCAGATAGTAATGATGGAAATAGCTTATCCCTGTATTTTTTTTGAGCGAAAAATACAGCAGGGGAGGTCTCCACTGTGAGATTTTATTAAAAAACAAAAGCCAGAAACTGTACAGAGGAGAAAGAACAACAAAAACAAAAACCACCCAAGAGGCTGAGGGAGCCACTCTGTATTTTCGGTGCACCATGATATATAATGGAGTTACTAGATTGCCTGTCTCGTCTGCCATCGTATAGAAATAAATCAATAATTCGCATTTATTGGTTTGTCTGCCGCAAAGGATACTGGAAGCTTTCAGTTCTGTGCAGCACTTTGTGTTCTTGTTCTGGCAGTGGTTTGTGTTCTTGGAGGACAGGACTTTAGGCTGCAAGATTTGTGTAGGAGAAACTGTTGCAGCAATGTGTTTGTGTTGCTGCACTGCAGCAGCAGCAGCCTCTCCAGCAATGACTTTATGCACATAATTTATTTATATAACTTGTAACTTTCCAACAAGAAGTTATGGAAATAATTTTTTTTCCAAAAAAGTTAAAAGTTATAACAAAAATTATGACAAGTTGTTACGTAAAAAGTTATGCATATGTTATAAGTATAATTTTGTAACTTTTCAAAAAGGAAAAATATGGGAATGGTTTTTTCTAGAAAAAGATTATGTTGGTAAGTTATGTTTCGCAAAATATTATATTTAAAATTTATGTGCATAACTTTGCAACTTTCTAAGAAAATATGGTGATAAAAGTTATACGTAAAAGTTGTGAGTATAACTTTGTAACTTTTCAAAACAAAAGAAAGGGGCAGTTCGGCTAGTAAAAAACCAGTCGGATTTCACTGTGCGCGGCTGAATTTCACTGTTTACTCTCATGAATTCATTCAGATTCCTTCAAATTCCTCCGAGCGAACAGGGTCAAAGTTGTGAATTCAAAAAAAAAAGTTATGGAAATATTTTTTCTAAAAAACGAAAAGTTGCTGGGCTTGTGGGATCGCTGATTCGCTAGGTCAGAGAACCACCGTGTACATCACAGCACGCGAAAAGAGAATGAATAGCGTATATGCTGCACTATCCAAATAGACAAAGATGTGAAAATTTATTTTTTTTCGAAAAAAGAAAACTCTGGGACGTGTCGAAATATTGTTCGCCGCATTCCAATCGGCTGAGGGTTCGCGAATTAGTGCCATTGCCTTATATTAGGTTACAAATCCTTCAGTGTCGTCCCTGCCCACTGTTCTGGCGTGGACGTCCGGTGCACGCACGGGCACGCCAAAAAAAACGCACGCATTCCTCTCGAGTCAAAAAAAAAAAAACGCACGCATTCCGCGCCGCGACTACTTCCTCCACAGCCTCGACTGCAACTGAAAGCAAAGCAAAGCCTGAGCCTCCACGCAGCATGAACTGTACCGCCTGTACACTGTGTGTTCTCTGAGGCAACTGTACTTGTACGTGCGAGAACGAGAACTTGATGTAAAATGTAGGGTTTTACACGACGAGACCGATGGATGGGTACGTGTATCCGCCGAACCACGCACGGCGTGTAATGTAAGCGAAACTCGTGCAGCGTGCCTGGAGACCTGCCATGCGTTGCAGGTTTGTGTCACGGAGATATCGATCGATCAGGCGACTGGCGTGCGTACCAAACGCGCGCTGCCGCCCCTGCCCTGGTGGATTTGGGAGTGCTTTTGGCGGCCTTCGGTGCAGGCGTCCAGCGAAGTGGCGAATCGCCAGTTGGGTGGGGTGCGGGTGCGGCGTTTCGTTCATGCGATCGCCAGTTTGGGAAGGAGGGCAACTCCAGATCCAGGGGTTCAGCTGGAGATGCGCCACGTTTGCTTGCGGACTGCAGTGGACAGTGTCGTCCCTGTCCGGCCGGTGCACGCACGCACGGGCACGCCAAAAAAACCCACGCATTCCACGCCGCGACTAATCTTCCTATATATATCGCACCCCGTCGCTCCCAATTCCACATCCACAGCCTCGACTGCAACTGAAAGCAAAGCAAGCCTCCACACAGCAAGGCAAGCACGGCACCGCCCGCTCGAGTAGTTCCAAACATGTGCAAGGTGGTGATCACGACCCCGTCGCTCGTCTGCCTGCGCCGCACGCTGCGGCGGTGGCGGTCCCGCGCGTCCTCCTCCTCCGACGCCGCGGTGCCGGCGGGGTACGTCGCCGTGTCCGTGCAAGGCGCGGCGCCATCGTCATCGGGGCCGAGGCGGTTCGCGGTGCGGGTGGCGCACCTCAGCCACCCGACGTTCCTGGAGCTGCTGCGGCAGGCGGAGGAGGAGTACGGCTTCTCGGCCGTCCCGGGCTCCATCGCGCTCCCCTGCGACGAGGACCGCTTCCTCGACGTCCTCCGCCGCGTGTCCCCTCCTCCTGTTGCTGCTGCGGGCCCGGCGGCCGCCCGGCGCGGGCGCGGCGACGTGCGGCCGCTGCTGCGGGGCATGGCCGTCGAGAAGCTCGTCTGGTGACCGTGACGCATGCGAGCCAAAAAGGCGAAAGCGACTCGCCCGGCTGGCGCGGCCGGGAAGACTGTGCGCGCGTGCAGGCATTATTCGTGCCGGGGCATCGGAGTAAAGGGCGTCCTCCTCCCGTGCCCTGCGTGAAGGCGACGGCCGCGAGGGCATCTGGGGAAGGCACGGGCATTGTTAGCAGCAGCAGCAGCTGTTGCTGTAGGTTTTCTTTTAGCTAGGAGCTAGTAGTAGATGACACTGGGAAGAAATTGCTCCAAGAATCATGAGAGGGTATGGGTATGTGACGTTTCTTTTGATTTTGGTGGTGTTTTTTTTTTCTCTGTAATAACTCGATGATCCATCTTGCAAAGGGAATAAACAAAGAAACTGTTCCTTGTATGAAATTCGAAATCATTTTTATCGTCATCTGGTGATGCGTCGAACCTGTCCTCGACGACCATGGATGTGGTTGTTTCGACCACTAGACTATCACCGTGAATTGTGTACGCTAACAACTGGTATTTGAGACTTGTATATAGTACAACAGCCCACTCGTAGTGCTTATATATATACTTAGGTTACAACTTACAAATCCTGCACTGTACTGACAGTGGCTAACGTAATAGGGATTAGTACGTAGAAAGGGGATTGTTCAGGCCATCAGGTAGACAGGTATTCAGATTTTCTGAAATGAAGTAGGGACCGACAAGCTCGATCTGCTTCAGGTCTTGTGGGCGGTCAGCAGAACCGAAGGAGGGCCCATGATTTGGTCCAAAAATGTGAGTTGATAACAGCTATAGCACATCACTGATTCACAGTTGTTCTGGATTCACTAGCTAGCTCGGTACATCTTGAGTTATAGCCATGCACGTCAGGCTAGGAATTTGAGTAAAGGACCTTTGATTTAGGCGTCGTTACTCGCAAGAGCTCTGAACAAATCCTCGGTGAATCCAAAGCTCTTTTCTATCGTCCTTGCTATTTAGCTGCATGCTCTCTCCGTCCTAAAAAATAAATAATTATAGAATAGTCCATATTAGAGCATGTCAAGTTTAAATAAATTTATATATAAAAAATTAAATTACTAGTATTATCGTATTAAATATGTACCATTAAATTTGTCTTTAAACATTTTTTTTAGAAGTTGTGGGGAGACCCCCACCTTTTTATTTCATAAAAACGAGCATACATGAGCAGCTTGTTATATGTTGTTTATGGGATATTAGCATGGCGTGGGGAGGAGAACAGCAAAGCCCAAGCATAGGCAACATGTCTATCTGATGGGGGCAACCTACATGCCCAAAGCTCGGTATCTTCGCGACACCCCGTGAAGAGGTGAGTGTAGCAAGGGGGCAGGGAATGGAACACCACATCGTGCCTGTGCTTCCAGAGACACCAACAACAAAGTAGAAGAAAGGCATTGGAGTGGGCAGCAGGGATTGTGGATGGCTCAAAAAGAGTAGTGACATCTCTTCAATGTGCAAATTGTTGTCCAACCGCAAAGGCGCAAAACCGTGAGATGTGCCAACCTTTGGAAGCAATGCAGTTTAAAATTCTCCTTCGTTTGATGCTTTTGGAACCAGCCAAAGAACTTAACTTTAGGAGGGCTTTAAACATATTTTCATAATATACTTATTTGATGTCACGAACATTAATATGTTTATTTATGTATTTGGTTAAACCATGGACACATTAACCGAGAATACCTATATAGAATTGTATTCATTTTGGGACGCAGGTGATACAATTTAAGATCTTACTAGAGTTGTGCGCTGTTGCTGGATGCAGTGGGGCAACTTCAAAAGTCACCACTATGTAAAGTCGGTTCTCCTTTTCTTATTTAGGTGTTGTATGGATCCCTAGAGCTGATAGTTACTCTCTCTCTCTTCCAAGTTACAAGATATTTTGTTTTTTCTAAATACATAGCATTTGTATAATTTGTGGTGGAAGGATAGTAGCTACTAATAATTAACTCATTAAATCCAAACAGATCCAGGTAATAGTCTAATTAATTGTGTAAGATGGATCCTCAATAACAACTACCTCACTAGTACCTGGTCAGTAAAAGTTAGTAAAAGTGGACTATTGGAGTCTACTAGCAAGTTTGTTGCGAATTACTCCCTCTCTAGCCTAGAAAGTACACAATTCTAAATATGAATCTGGATAAGGACTAGAGTAGTATGCTAACATTAGCAGATACATCCTGGCTATATGGGCCAACAACCCAAATGTTGCGCCCCCGGGAACAATGAGCTGAAGTTGAACGAGCTGCTGGCTCCAAATAAAACAATGATGTCATGATCTTGTAGATATACATAGATGCTACTAGGTTTGATGACATTGTGACTCAACCCGCCGATAAGTTGGATAGGGATCTTGATGAACGACCACCACCCCCCGGCGGGCGATCCTCCTCCTCTCCCTCCCTCCACCCCACCCCTCTTCAATGCGTGCATTTTCATGCTGGAGCGCCGTGTGTTCTCATGGGATGAGGAGGCGCCCATAGCCGCTTGAAATGTCAATGGGTTCTTCTCTCCACTCTTCCGGGATCCACCATTAATAGCATTTTTTTCAGCCTGACAAAACATGGTGGTACTTTCTCCGTGGAACCACTAGGATCAAATATCGTAAAGCCTTCATCCGATACATCCCATCATCCGCTTAAATACCAAGAAGTCCATCTTTTTCAAATCATGGGCACTAACAAATGACTTCCACCCGCCCATTAGCGAAAGCACAACGCCGCACTATTATTCGCGCCGCCCATATTCTTTAACCCTTGAACATCGCGACCCTTTCCAGTATAACTCCGTGATTCAAGAGTAATACTTTCTTGGACGATTTTGTCCGGCTCCGAAATGTTTAACAAAGCCGGTTGATGCGTCCCTGCCACGCGCCCAGACTCATCCGGTCATGACTCAGGGTCGTGGTGTGATGGACGCTAGACGACAGGGACCTAGTCGAAGATGGAGGAGACGTAAAGTTCGGTGCACGAGGTAGCTGCGTTTATTGGATGCCCGTATCCCTACTACCAACATCTATGCGCGAAGGGGTCTCCGCCCCAACGCCGATGGGTGGCGGAGATCCTCCCATGATGAGGAGACGCAACTTGCGCCGCCTCGGTTGAGCATCGCCAAGATCGATGCAGTATGGAAGATTCTGCAGAAGCTTCGACGGATGCTTTAACTGTCTCTCCTACTCGCACCATGTCGGAACTTGCCGGTTGCCATGACGTTGACTGCGCTGCCACGGCTACTGCCACCTAGCTGTGGACCGCAGCGCCGCGGCCGCAGGCCATGTCGACGGCCAACCCTTGACACTTTGCTTGTGCGACCCTCCGCGTCCCAAAAAGTGCCGTCCACTAAGCTTCATGGCAATAGGCGTGGCCAAAAGTGTTAGTTTTGAAAAAAAGCAAGCCGGTTAGGATTTAAAATTAGTTTAAAAACCTGGTGTTAAAAATAAAAAAATCGCGCTATATATAGGTCATCTCATTCAACCCGATGTTGTTCGATTCACAGCCGGCTGAGCTTTGTCTACCTACTCGGTTTTGAAGTTGTAGCCACGTCCGGCTAGGAATTTGAGTAGACTTTCTACATCTTTTCTAATTATTATTAGGAATATAGAGATTTCTATACCCCAAATGACGCGACAAATACCACACGGTCGCCCCAACCCACCAAGGCGCGATCGAGTGGAATGACGCCATTAATCGCCACATGGTAACCCACAAGGCAACCCCTGCCAAAAAGGAGCAGACGGATCGCCGCTCAGCCTCTAGCGCACATTTTGACCTCCAAGCGGGGCGAGGTGCTCCTCATGCAGATGATGGACTTTGCACTGCCGGCAGCTCCAATTTCATCCGTGTCCAAGCGAGCATACGATGACTTATTCGCAAGGAACTTGACGTCGAGCGAAGTGGAAGCTCTAGACGAGCTGTTCCCGGCGATCAATGTCAGGACTGGTAGAAGACTCTTCTCGGATGGCGGAGCAGGGTTGCGTGGCCAGCAGCGAAGATGTCCAGCTCCGTAGGTTACTGTGCTGCTCTTAGTTCGGTTGTTCACTTTTATGTAATATCGAAGTTCGAAACAATTTGCTAGAAAGTTACAGTCACAACTGTACGACCTCATAGGACGCTTATTAGAAACGTGTCATGTGTATGGTTTAACTCTTCTTCCTAATTAGAATGATACGTAAGAGAGGTGACGGTGGGATCAGGACATCAGCAGGTAGATGAGCTCTTAACCGAGGCAATAGGGCATGTGTCGCGTCGCTGATGGCAAAGGCCTCAACGGCATGGGACGTGACAGGCCGGCGTTGTAGAGTACTAGCTGCTAGTACAGTGGTAGTACTCAGGATCAGATGCACGTGATCGAGCCGCCTCCGGCTAGTCGCCATCTGGGTGTACGTTGTCCGGCCCGAAGGGAACTGTACCTGTACGTACGTGCGAGAACTCGAAGGAAAATGTGGGGTTTCATACGAGACCGACGTGTACGTGTAACCGCTGCACGGCGTGTGTACGAAACCCGTGGTGACCTGCAAATCTGCCATGCGTTGCAGGTTTGTGTCACGGAGATATCGACCGATCGATTCAGGCAGCTGGCGTGTGCGCGGAACGAGCTCATGCTGCTGCCTGCATTTGGGAGTGCTTTTGGCGGCGTTCGGCAGCTGCAGATGCACCGCCAGCACGTTTGCTTGCTGACGGCTCCCCGGTGACGTACGTACGTACGGTACGAGCGCGTGCAGGATCTGGGTTTCGTGGTCTCGTCTCCGTGTGTTTTCGTACGGTCTGAAGCGTAGCTGGTACTCCCTCCGTCCCTGGAAAATGCAATTACGAGAATCATGTCAGTGAAGGTATCTCTTGTTTAATCAAATTTACAGTAAATAGTATTAGCATTTATGTTTCTAAATATTTTTAAAAAAAAATAGATTTCATGACAAATCTAATGGTACTTATTTTATATCATGAATGCTAGTAATTTTTTTATATAAATTTAGTCAAAGTTAAAACTGTTTGGCTTCTCGAAAAGCGATAATTATATTCTTTTATAGACGCGGGGAGTACTATTTATTAGGCTGATATCTTACGTTTAATAAGAATCAATTTAAATTCGGTTTAATTAGGAAGACATGTGCTCGGTGCTCCGCTACTAATGGTAAAAGAAAAAGGGAATTTTTCTGAAGGGGACTGTGTCAAGCCACCAAACAAGTGAGATCTATCACAATTCACAACTAAGGCGCATATCTTGTCAAATTCCAACCAGGAGGTCTATTTTTGTTTGATATAAAAAACCCGGAGATATATACAAAACAAAATATTTTACTCCCTCCGTCCCTAAATGTCTGTCGTTTTCGCTTCCCAAGAAACAACTTTGATTAAATATATATTAAAAAATATTAATATTTATGATACATAATTAGTATCATTGGATAGATATTTGAATTTAGTTTTTTAATAATTTTATTTAGAGATAGAAATGTTGCACGTATTTTTTATAAATCGAGTCAAAGTTATCGACACGTAAATCGTGGCGACTAACCTTTAGGGACGGAGGGAGTATATTGTATAAGCATATATATGGTAAATAGTTACTCGATTAATAAAATATATTTCCAATGTGTCCATAGTTCCAGTACTCATTAGGAATTCCTAGAGCCGGAGACATAAAATCTTAGAGCTATAACTATTTCAACGTAGTCTTAAACTTTTATCACTCGCCTCAGCTAAGCGAGGCGAGCCAAAGAGGTATAACTAAATTCATGAAAGAAGTTTCCCAGTTATTGTCCAGTGGTGAGTAGACAGTGATTTCAAAAAGAAGCGAACGTGTGTCCCGTGAAAGTGGGCTGTAAAATCACTTTCACCCACCAATAACCAGTAGTAGGCAACATATAACTAACTGTGCACTGTCCATAGCAGCACGGGAAAAGCAGGACCACACGTGTTCTATCTCAGGCATTCTTCACCTCTGCTGCATGAATCTTCAAGCATCTCTTATATCTCTCCTATGTCGCCGCCGCCGCCCATGACCTTGTTTTCCTAAGCTGACGCTACCCCTAACCTCGGCAGCTGCAGCTCCAGCACCACGCAGGCCTCCCCGTCACCACGGCCCCGGCTTCGGCCACATCTTCTGCCATTGCGTCGGCTCCGGCAACGTCGAGCTCACCCGCCACTGCCATGGCCACGGCCTTCTCTTTCTCTCCCTCTCTTCTTCTCCATCTCCAGCGGGCTTAATTAGAAAGGGGGTCAGGAGAGATAGTCAGGCCTGATGGTGGGGATGAACCGCCGCAGGAGTGGGCGGCGGAGGAGACTGTTGGGTGGGGTTGAGATGGGAGTGCCATCGCGGGACCTGACCCGTGCTCCTTCCGACGGTGTTGTCAGCCCGGCACAGTCGTGCCATGTCCGAGAGTCACGAATCTTATGAGCTGCTCGGCTGATGGTTTTTATGGCTGATAGGTTGGTTGATGTTGATTTGTTGTGAGCAAAAAATATTATACCTTGGCTGATAAGTCGGACTGACAAGTGCAAGCGAACATGGCGCTAAATCGTACGGCCACGATAGGCGTGGCGGCCACAGCACGCGTGGAAAATCCACTCTCCTGCAGCACCCATGAAAACGACAGAAACGGCTCTTTTACAGAAACAGCAGTAGCATGTTCGGTTAGCTGATTCGTATCGTTACTGGTGCGTTTATATGAGAGAGAAGTACTGCTGCTGGTTTATATAAACAGTGTCTATGAGAGGGGGGCTGGCTAGCCCAGCCAGCCCCAGCCGAACACGCTGTTCTGTTGCGGACGTCCGGTGCACACACGGGCACGCCAAAAAAAACATAACACTCGCGATGCCATTGCCATCTGCTTCTCCTCCTATATATATATGGCCACCCCGTCCCGCCCAATTCCACAGCCTCGACTGCAACTGAAAGAAGAGCAAAAGCCTGAGCCTCCACGCAGCAAAGAAGCAAGGCACCGCCCGCTCGAGCTCTCCAGGCCTCCAAGCATGTGCAAGGTGGTGATCACGATCCCGTCGCTCGTCAGGCTGCGCCGCACGCTGCGGCGGTGGCGGTCCCGCGCCGCGGAGGCGGCCTCATCCTCATCCTCCTCCTCGTCGGCGGCGGTGCCGGCAGGTCACGTTGCCGTGTCCGTGCAAGGCACGGCGCCGTCGTCGGGGCCGAGGCGGTTCGTGGTGCGGGTGGCGCACCTCAGCCACCCGGCGTTCCTGGAGCTGCTGCGGCAGGCGGAGGAGGAGTACGGCTTCCCGGCCGCCCCGGGCCCCATCGCGCTCCCCTGTGACGAGGACCACTTCCTCGACGTCCTCCACCGTGTGTCCTCCTCGGCCTCCTCCTCCACCTGCTACTGTGGCCCGGTGGTCGCCCGGCGCGGGCGCGGCGATGCGCGGCCGCTCCTCCAGGGCATGGCCGTCGAGAAGCTCGTCTGGTGAGTGGTGACCGTGACGCATGCAAGTGAGCAGGTGGGAAGCGGGGGGAAAAAGGCGAAAGCGACTCGCCCGGCTGGCGCGGCCGGGAAGACCGTACGCGCGCGCGCGCGCGCAGGCAGTTCGTGCTGCCGGGGCATCGGAGTAAAGGGCGTCCCTCCTCCCGTGCACTACGTGAAGGCGGCGCCCCCAACGACGACGGCCTCGAGGGCAACTGGGCCGGGGAAAGCCACGGGCATTGTTAGCTAGGAGCCTAGGAGCTAGTAATAGATTGTACTTGGAAAAATTGGTCCGAGATCAAGAGGGGGATGTGAGGATTCTTTGTTTTTATTGGTGTTTTTTCTCTGTAATAACTCGATGCTCCATCGTGCAAAAAGGAATAAACAAAGAAATTGTTCCTTGTATTGTATACAATTATTTTTGTCCTCACTGTGGCATGCATGTGTTCGTGATACTGATGCGTCAAACCTGCCCTCGACGACCACTAGACTATCACCGCGAATTGTATACGCTGGCAACTGGTATTTCTCGTGGTTTACATGGCGATTACCTACTGTAAAAAAACTGAGACTTGTATATAGTCCACCAGTAGTGTTTATATATGCTTATGTTAACAAATTCTGGACTGACAGTGGCTAACGTAATAGGTACTCCGTATTAGTAGCAAATAATACTTCTGACATATACAGAAAGCAGATAGTTGAGGCCATCATGTAGACAGGTATTCAAGTTTTCTGAACGAAGCTCGGACCGGCAAGCTCCACCTGCTTCAGGTCTTGGGGTATCCGATTTGAAGAAACTTTGGTCCAAAATGTGTCGCAAATTCACAATGTGAGTTCAGAACAGCTATAGCACATCCACTACCAGACCAGATCGAGAAAACTCCTGTCGGTTCCACATATTCCTGTGGGTTCGTAGAAAACCGTCAGGAACTTCGTCGAACTCCAGTCGGCTGCTAAATCCCGTCAGGAAACGTTCTCGTATTCCTGTCGGTTGTCGAATAACCCTAAGGAATCTCCAAAACCGTCAGGAGACGCCCGTTTGTTCCTGTCGGTTGCTGATAGCCGACAGGAACCTAGATCCCCGCGACCGCAAACCCGAAAACTCAGCGCCCACGAACTCAGCGTGCCAAAATGTTTTCTGCCTCCCTCGTTTTACTGCATAATTATGGGACCCACACAAAGGCATATATATACCAAACCCTAGTTTTTTTCCCAATTCTCCACCCCGCCGCCGCCCAGCACAAACGGGTCGCCTGTGGCCCGACCCAAGCACCGTCGCACCCACCTCCCATCTGCACGCCGCAGCCCCCTCGCATCCTCGCGACGCCGCCCCCCTCGCATCCGCGCGCCGTGGCTCCCCTCGAATCCTCACGCCGCCGCCCCTTGGTGTTCCACCCAGCGCCGTTGTCCTCTGCAACCCTAGTAGACGCAACAACGCCGCCATCCCTGGAGTCCATGCCCCTGGAGTACCTAATCAGTTGCTCATTTGACATACTGTATGTACCTAATCAGTTGCTTCAAAATGTTCTCTAATCATCTTGTGTTTTAGGATATTTTTGACAAGCTGAACATGGAATTACCAGCAGAAATTACAGGCATCTTGCAGTCGGTCAATGAAATTGAAAATGCAAATGCTTCTATGCCACCAATTGAACATGTCTATATCTTGCCATGCATTTATAATATTCATTGGGGCTATTGAGTTCCCAGCTAGCTCCATTTTAGCATTGTGCATCTCACATCACATAAGATAAGGTCTCGCTGTAATCATGTGTTGAGTTGTCATGTGTTGTCTGTACTGTTAGTCACTCATCAATTTAAGTTCCATCACTTTGTAGGGTACAGAGTCATCACATGCTGGAGACGCTGGTTCTGGTGGTCAAGATAGCAATGGCATCGAAGAGAATGAAGGCAATGCTAACATAGACTGAAATAATGTCTAGACAGCGTAAGCCTCTTTTGTATAATTGGAGTGTATATGGTGAAGCTCCAAGTTCACTTGCTTCCATTGAAGTAAGCTGACCTCTATTGTGCAGTCTTATACCTAGTATGTAGATGTCCTCTATTGTGCAATCTTATACCTAATATGTAGATGTCAAAGAGTGGAAAGGCCTCTCTGTTATTTAGTTGGCATGTAAGCTGCTAGACTTGCTGAAGCCTTTTGCCTCTTGAACTGTTACTTAGTTGGCATGTAAGCAGCTAAGACTTAGTCAAGTCTTGCCTCTTGAACTTACTTAGTTGGCCTGTAAGACTTGCTGAAGTCTTGACTCTAGAGAAATGTGGCGAATTTGGACTTGTGAACCACTTTGAAGTGTAATGTGCAATTTGGATTTAGAATGTGTGTGTAAATTTATCTCTAAGATGCCAAATGCATGTGGTAGAATAATATATTTTTATGTTTTCCTGGAATCAAAATGGATGGTTTTGTACCTGATCTTATTCCTGACACATCTCCTGTCAGGATCTGGAAAAGGATTCCTGTCATTTATTTTTCTGACGGCTGGATGTCAGGAAATTAGATTTAATCCTGTTGGTGGTTTTCTTTCTCCTGACGGCTGCGATGACAGGAATTAGGTGCTGATTCCTGTCGGTTTAGAGTTCCTGACGGGAATTTCTATTGACCAGGCTGACAGTATATAGGGCTCGCCGGTGGGATTAGAGCCGTCAGGAATTGCCGTCAGGAGTATTCAACCTTTTCTGTCGACCTATTCCTGGCGACGGTTTTCAGACGGCTGTCCATCGGGAATATATTTCCTGACGGTTTTTGGCCGACAGGAATTTTAGGTGCTCTGGTAGTAATCACTGACGCTCTGGAGCCTGGATTAGCTAGCTTTGAACATTTTGATGAGTTGTGGCCCCGTCTGTTTAGGAATTCGATCCAGCCTGATATGATATGACTGTGCTCGTATAATACATCCTGCTGAGTGCTGAGCAGGGCATGTGCCCGACAATTTCTCGACAAATGCACTAGTTTCAGTGAAACCACACACTGGAGGACTACCCCATCCTATCCTCGAACAGGAGTACTGTAAAAATCCAAAGGGGGCTGTCGTGCACTGTCTCCACAGCTTCACGTCGTCATCAGATCAGACAGGAGCAGACGAAGCACGTCATGTGCGCATAGTCCGGAACATCCGCATCCTCCCAATGCAACACTTGGCGTGGCGTCCGTCCCGGGCGGCCGGTCCTCGATCAGTCTCCGGTCCGGGCCACGTCGCCGAGACGGCACCGTATCCTCTCGCCGATTCGCCGCACGCGCTAACGCCGATCCGCCCGTCGCCACGTAGCCCATACAGCCAGGGGCGTGCGCGCTCCGATCCGGCGCCGGACGGATTCCGGCCAGTTGCACTGCACCCACGGGTTCGGTCCGTTCGACATTTCGGCTGCCGCGGCGGTTACACCTGACCCGGTCGTCGTCGTCTCGTCTAGCTAAAAATTCCCGCGGCATCTCCGCTCGTGCGAGGCGTTCAGCAGCTCGCGCTCGCGGCCGGCGCGTACGTGTCCGCGCGGCGGGGCGCGGAACGTGCGAGCCCCCGGCCTGGGCGGCCAGAATCTTTGTGGAGGACAGGAGGAGCAATGATGGTCCAACCGAATTCGCGTGCCCTTTTGGTTGCCGTTGCCCGATCACATCATCATCCAGCTGCTGGATTAGTGTTTTATTTAGCAGGGGTCTTATTTTTAGTGCAGAGTTTTATTTTTCTGATCAAGCTTATTAGACTTGTATAAGCGTGCAATCTGTCCAAGGACCAAGGATGCATGCACCTGTCCTGTCCTTCTGGTGCCTCGTTGTACTCATTGTGACTGCCTAGTAGTGCTCCACTACCTTAGCTTGCTGCCCAGCCTCACGTCCATTTTTAATTTTTTTTAGACTAAGGCCATGTTTAGTCCCCTCATTTTTCAGAATTTGGCACTATGCAAAAAGAAGATTCTCCGTCACATTAAACTTGCGGTACATGCATGGAGTACTAAATGTTGACGAAATCAAAAACTAATTGTACAGTTTGGTTGTACTTTGCGAGACGAACGTTTTGAGCCTAATTAGTCAACGATTGGACAATTATTACCCAATAAAAACAAAATGACACTGTAGCTACAGTGATTCGACCGGCGCCGAATCGGCCGAACTAAACGCGGCCTAAGTTTCTGCTGGTTCACCATTGATTATTTTCAGTGTGAACTGAGTATATATCTATTCCTACCTAACAAAACCGCAGGGAGAGAGGGAGGAGAGGGGGAAATGTTTGAAGCTAGGAAGCATGTTTGGTGTGAGAGAAAAACACTGTTCCCGACTGGAAATTTACGATCGTTTACGAGCAAGCGAACAGGCTGTATATGTAAATGGTTTGAAATTGGGTAGAGGTCATAAGGATCTAGTCTAGTATATGGCTCTGCAGAGTCAGCAGCCACATGCTCCCCTCCCACAACACTACATGTGTTACCATTCATCCGAGTCATCATTGCAAGCTGCAGGGCATCTACGCCACCATATACAAATGCCAATGCGACCTTTCAAGCGTGCCCTGGGCATGGGCAGATGACACGTAGAGGCACAGAGCATCTAGGAGAGGCACCAGGACAAGAGGCGTGGTTAATTTGGTGCTGTATGATTGGCGAATTAGGCCCTATTTGTCCGATAAATCCACATAGAAATCTCCTCCTGATGTTCGCTCCCTACCTCTCTCCTAGTGGAAGATCGGAGGAGAGAATATCTGTTCGGTGGAGCATTTCAGGATGGGCCAAGATTAAAGGGGGGTATTTTATCATTTCGTTACGTTAGGTTTGGTTAATCATTTTGATGAGCAATCATTTATCGTCAACACAAGGTGCTAGTTAAAGACATAGATCATTTTAAATGTGCACCTCTCGGTAAGTATCCATAGAATAGGATAAAGAAGACTATAATCCAGAGGAGCAACTAGCTAGCTTGTTTACACCAAAAAGAGTTGAATTTGGTGCCGCTTCTTCAACTAATTTTCTTTTCCCAAGGGAACCCACTCCATTCTG